GTTTTAAATTATCCACAGTATGTAAATTTTTTATTGATGTAAGCTGTGGTACCATTGTTTGGTGATATTCACTTTCTGTAACACACAACAATATAGTTTTAAATTATCCACAGATGTTAAATTTTTTATTGATGTAAGTTGTGGTACCATTGTCTGGTGGTATTCACTTTCTGATATATACACAGGATTCTTGAGTACAAGCAATCATTAAAAAGGGGATTTTGTGTTGATGCTGCTTTAGGAAACACATTATCAGTGTGAACTTTTTCTCTCCATAAGCTTAAATATTGACAGTACAGGAAGAAGGATACGTATGCACTGTTGAAGAAAACTCAAGTTTTCTCAGAATAATATCTCAAATACTGCCCTTCACAGCACACACACACACACACACACTGCTTACATCCTGAAAACTGATGTAATATTGTTTAAAGGACTTCACTTTGTAGAATAGAATAAACTTCTCACATCCTGAAAACTGATGTAATATTGTTTAAAGGAGTTCACTTTGTAGAATAGAATAAACTTCTCATGTCCTGAAAAACTGACATAATATTATCTCAAATACTTCACTTTGTAGAATAGAATAAACTTCTTACGTCCTGAAAACTGACCTAATAGTACCTGGTTTAAATTTTCTGTTCTTCTCCTCTTGGTGGTACCTAAATGTAAAAGATAATAACAATACAAACATCATACTGGCTAAGGATATCTTACATGTATATCTATAGAAAGGATATCTTAGTATATCTTACATGTATATCTATAGAAAGGATATCTTAGTATATCTTACATGTATATCTATAGAAAGGATATCTTAGTATATCTTACATGTATATCTATAGAAAGGATATCTTAGTATATCTTACATGTATATCTATAGAAAGGATATCTTAGTATATCTTACATGTATATCTATAGAAAGGTACGTATGTATAAGAATATATATACTCTTATGTATTATGAAGTATGAGTTACAACAATTGTAGTACTTACTGTAATCACATCAAACTTTCCTAGCTAGCATAAAACTATAAATGTTGTTAAAATCATAAATAATATTCAACGTTAAACTGGTACACAATTAAAAACATGTTATTTAGGCCTATCGATGGCCTTCAAAAAGTTGACGACTCTACATGTTTTGTCTTGTTCTTCACTCCTGAGGATGACGTTGTAACGTTGAAACATGTAGAGTCGTCAACTTTTTGAAGGCCATAGATAAGCCTAAATAAAATGTTTTTAATTGTGTACCAGTTTAACGTTGAATATTATTTATGATTTTAACTTTATACACAAGTGCAAATATACTGTAATTATAAATGTTGTATTTAGAAACTTTTTTGTGTGTATATTATTTGATGTACTTTCCTAAAACTCTGATGTTTATTATCAGTTTATGTTATCCACAATCAAGATCAAAGTCATTATCACATATACGCTTATTAAATACGTTCTTCAAGCAACTTGTTACTATTAACAAAAAATAAATGACATGATAAAAACTAAATCTTGCACAAAGGTGGATCATGTCAAAACTTTAATATAATTCACAGATTAGGACAGTTTTAGATTTGTAGTGCAAACTGGAGAGTTGTATTCACTGTTAAAAAAAAGGTAAATAAAACATTACCAATTACTCCAGAAAACGTAATTGGTTTAATTTAAACCGATGTTTCACCGTTACGGCTTCATCGGGGCAAACAGATAAACAAGTGTCTTGTTTGTTCCAATGAAGTCATAATGGTGAAGTGTTGGCTTAAGTTGAACTAATAGGTCATATTATATTTATCATTGTAAAAATAATTCACAGAAGTTTGGTATAAAAAGCAAATCAATATAGGATTTTAAAATTCTTCTTTAACACTGATATCTCTCTATCTATTTACATGAAAGAAGTACAGCAGCTGAACCCTTTATCATCTCCACCCGTGCATTTGCATGTTAGACATCATCTCCACCTGTATATGTACACATGTTAGACATCATCTCCACCTGTATATTTACACATGTTAGACATCATCTCCACCTGTATATTTACACATGTTAGACATCATCTCCACCTGTATATTTACACATGTTAGACATCCTCCACCTGTATATTTACACATGTTAGACATCACTCCACCTGTATATTTACACATGTTAGACATCACTCCACCTGTATATTTACACATGTTAGACATCATCTCCACCTGTATATTTACACATGTTAGACATCACTCCACCTGTATATTTACACATGTTAGACATCACTCCACCTGTATATTTACACATGTTAGACATCACTCCACCCATACATTTACGCATGCTACACATCATTTCCACCCATATATTTACGCATGCTAGACATCATCTACACCCATATATTTACGCATGCTACACATCATTTTCACACATATATTTATGCATGCTAGACATCATTTCCACACATATATTTATGCATGCTAGACATCATCTACACCCATATATTTACGCATGCTAGACATCATCTACACCTGTATATTTACGCATGCTACACATCATTTTCACACATATATTTATGCATGCTAGACATCATCTACACCCATATATTTATGCATGCTACACATCATCTACACCCATATATTTACGCATGCTACACATCATTTCACACATATATTTATGCTTGCTAGACATCATCTACACCCATATATTTACGCATGCTAGACATCATCTACACCTGTATATTTACGCATGCTACACATCATTTTCACACATATATTTATGCATGCTAGACATCATCTACACCCATATATTTACGCATGCTACACATCATTTCCACACATATATTTACACATGCTAGACATCTCCACCTGCATATTTATGTTAATTATGGTAATGGAATAAACACTTCCATGAATGATAAAAGGTTAAAGGAGATATATCTCTAGGAACACTGTGAAATCAAAACTATCACAAACCTAGCCTTAGACGTAAGTGACAATGCCATGTACTGTTTGCGATTACTTGCAATTCTCCTCTGGTCATGCTTTTCAAGACACTTGTCCAAAAGGTGGTCACCCATACAGTTGAAACATGTGACCCTTGGCCTTAGAAAGATAAAAAAAAGTTGAATTAAAACAGTCAAATTTATTCTTGACATTTATTGTAGAACTGAATCAGTCGACTTTTAGTATGTTTAAAGAAAAAAGTTTAGTTCAAGTGGTCAAGTTTATTCTTGACGTTTCCTTTTTATACGGGTTCACATAACTGAAAAGCTACAATGTAAAGAAGTAACAACAGGAGGAGAAAGTTTCGAGTTGCACTTAAATGTATGAGATCTGTGAACTTTGAGCAGGATAGAGAAAAACCGAGTTGTAAATAATGAGGTAGCTTGACTTTTGGTAGTTGTATTATGTGTAATAATTACGATGGTTCTTGTAGCTCTATTTTCTGTCAATATACCTGCCTATGACCAACGTTATGCTATGATAACAAAGGATACGAAATTGATGCTAATATTTTACATCAGTGTATTTCTCAAGTATAAGAATTAAATACATGTGACAATGTTCTCTCTAAAGCAGGTTATTGTAATTTAATAACCTAAAGTATTTGTACAGATTCATTTGGTACAAATCACCATTTGTCGTACATTTTAGAAATATTTAAACCTTTGACATCTTTTGTTATATGCGTCACGGAAATAAAGGTCAACGCAAATGCAGTTATGTCGACAGTTGGACACGTGAATCAGACTGTACCAAGAAACATTTGATAGCAACGAGTTCAGGCATTAGTGAAGCAATTGGAGAGTAGCAGTATATAATGACTAGATTATTTGGACTATAACTGGTTGGGATGTCATTAATTTTACAACAAAATGTGGAAGTAATCTTGTTCTGTGTAGATCCTGGATACTCTCCTGACCTTACATCATTTTTTACTTTTGGGGACAGATAAAAAACTTGATGTTTTATCACACATCCAAATAATCTAGAAGCCCTGATGCTGAAAACCACATCAGCTTGTGCAACGGTAACAATGCAAATGCTACAAAATATGGTTTAAAAACCTAAGCAAAAGTGTGACATTGTGTTGTGACATTAATGGTGCATACTTGAAATATCTCTAGGGGGGGGAGGGACTTAATAAACTCATGGTAGTGTTGCATCACCCAGTACAGACAAAAACGTGAACTATATTTTTCACACAACCAAGTTGAAAATGTTTGTTTGTTTTTTGAATTTCGCGCAAAGCTACACGAGGGCTATCTGCGCTAGCTGTCCCTAATTTAGCAGTGTAAGACTAGAGGGAAGGCAGCTAGTCATCACCACCCACCGCCAACTCTTGGGCTACTCTTTTACTAACGAATAGTGGGATTGACCGTCACATTATAATGCCCCCACGGCTGAAAGGGCGAGCATGTTTGGTGTGAAGGGGATTCGAACCCGCGACCCTCAGATTACGAGTCGAGTGCCCTAACCACCTGGCTGTTGAAAATGAAAGAAAGTGTTAATTCTGTTCTGTTTCAGCCAGTTTTAATATAGTTCTAGAAACCAATTTGTTAAAGTTGTACTTTATTTATTACTACTGCAAGTAACTGTCATTCAATAAAGTTTACCTAAATAAAAACAACATAAAATAGTTTAGTTCTATGAATTAGAACATTGAATTTTTGTATAAATATATTATTTTTAAGGAAAATATGTTGAAAATCACATTTTTGTTACTGATGATATGTTTCCACCTGAGAAAGATGTAGTTAAACTTTTTTTTTAAAGTTCTAATGTAATTTTGAACACATTAAATCTGGTCAAGACAAATTGTTAAATTGAGTCTAACGTGTTACTTCCTGTAGCACTGTCCAACAAGGAGGTTATCTAGTGTTTCAAGGGATAGTTCTATTTTACCCTGCGTATGCAGGGCTCCTGGATTCTTGTAATCATATCCGTAATTGGTCAGCTGCATAAAACAGCATGGATTGCGAGAATAGTTTTTCCAATTTCAGGAAGATTGGCTTCTGTTCTGAAAGGGGTTAAGATGCACCGCGTATTCGTGTAGGTCCATTATTGTATGCACCAATCATGCACTGTCATATTTTAAGTTTTCCTTTTAGGTGTATTTTATTTTTATCTTTTTCAACCTAGAAAACATACAATGTAAAATAAATAACACTAAGTCATGTTTGTTGTGCCTATTTGTTTCTTCTCTTCTGTACTTGTTATCAAGCTAATACTTCTTCCAATCAAATCTTTAGACCTCATTACGTGGGAAGGGGTAGTTTACGTGTGTTTAACAATTTTCCTACATTTGTTATATCAAAACAAAAGACTGAATGAAATAACTACCGAAATTTTTCCAGCTTTTGAGGCTTTTCTTCTGGTGACTTGTCTTGCATGATCTCTTCATAATCTTTATCGTAGCTACATGCATCTTTCTTAAAGAAAACTCCTTTATGGTTTAATTTCTAGTTAAATTGATAAGTTTAAACAATCTTCAGTATAATGCTGACGGAAATCTAGGGTTTTAGCTAGGAACAATGTGGAAATATCTTACAATATTTAGACATTTAATAGAAACAAATCAAAATATTTAAGTTTCAATGAACAGTATAAATATTTGTTGTTATTAGAATTTAAACACGCGTAGCTCCTTCAAATAAGGCTGCCACAATCTTTCTTTACTACAATTTCACTTTCTGTAAGAAGTTGTAAACCCGTGCGAATATACAACAAATAAGATCATGGTGTAGGTTTAGGTTACACCTACAATGTTTACGATTTCCCAGCTTCGTTAATTGTTTACTGTAACAATCTTGAAAGATCGTTTAATGCAGTGTCAAACACACAAACTGAAAAAGATACACAGGAATTTTTTCTGGTTTTCCACATGAAGTGTGACTATTGGTGTGCTGGATGGTGTCAACGTAAAAATCCTGGAAGAACTGGAGATGTTCACCTTCCTAAAAAGTTAATTCCATGAAATGAACTTACATTTATGAGCACTTTTCAAGTCTAGTGGTTTACAAGGTAAGTTAAAACATATTTTCTTTATATTAACGATTATTGAACATAAAATAATTTGATATAAAAATACAGAGAAATGTACTAGTGCATATTAAACTCTTACTCCAAAATTAATTCATAATTGGTCACTTCCCATATTACTGATGTTTCTCATGTTACACAACATGTGCAACACATCCTTTTTACTCCAAAATTAATTCATAATTGGTCACTTCCCATATTACTGATGTTTCTCATGTTACACAACATGTGCAACACATCCTTTACTCCAAAATTAATTCATAATTGGTCACTTCCCATATTACTGATGTTTCTCATGTTACACAACATGTGCAACACATCCTTTAACAAGAAAATAATTACACATGAAAATCATGCTATATCTTTTTACACTCAGTTTGTCTGATCAACTGGTGGTTAATATTTTCATTATTCATTTTGTACTAGAGATTAAAGATTGTTCATTTACTATTTAATTCAGATGTTTGTTTCAGGTAGTATGATCACTAGTTTTATTTTTTTAAGGTTTTGATATTGGATCTGGTATTAACAAAGATTTTTTTATTACAGTACCTTATTGTACAGACGACAAGGTGTTTCTAGGAAAACAGTATTTTTGCACACAGAAGTTTGTGGGTAAACAGATATAAAAAGTATCCTTTCAATAATGTCCAGCTATGTGACAAAAATCAGGAGTATAGAGGTTCTTTCCCTTCAGGCCTTTGGCTTTTAAGTAGTGTAAACTAACATTCTTACAAGTAGTTAAGCCTTTTGTTAAGTTTCAACTTAGCAAGTTCTTTATCACAAATATTAATAGTTTACATGCGTGTAACAAGTACTGAGTAAATGAACAAGTCAATACACAGTTTTCATATGTACGATCGGCTTTTCTGTACCAACATTACCTATTAGGCTTTATTAACCGTTATGTACAACACTTACTGTATCTTTTCTTTCATCGTCATTTTCAACCATTGTTAGATCCTCCCCAGCCAACAACTCTTTCAGAAACTCTTCTACTTTCATTTGATACTTTCTGAGAATAAAAATAAACTTTATTATCTACTTTATTTACTAATGACTGATTAAGCAGTCAAACAAAATGTATTTCATAAAGACATGCTACGATACCAGTAAAATACACAGCTTCGTAAAATAAACTTGGCAGGTTTTGAAAGTTAAAAGCTTTACAAAAATTTCATGCGTATAATTATTTGAAAAGTTACAAGATTATTCCTCCTGCAAAACAGACGTTATAATCATCTAAGATCAAACTTTTATTCAACATAGGATTGTCTACTGGCTGAAAATATTATAAAACCATTTCCATGTTTGAACATAAGCCTATAAGTTATACTACTTAACTATTCTGTTTGGAAAAAAATATTGAAAAATTAAATAAAATATTTACTATTAAATGCAATAAGCTTTAATATCATTCAAGCTCATAAAAAAAGACTTATTTTCAATGGCTACTCACTTTGCTAGTCTTTTATTTTTGAAAGTCACAGTGATCAAAGGTCCATTCGAAGAACCTTCTTTGCTTGTTTTAACCTGATGAAGGTCTTGTTTTAACCTTGAATATGGCTAATGTTAAGGAGGGTTAACACAGCTAAATGTACGTAAATCTTAAATTATCATCATTCAATCCACCAGATGGCATTACATACAAAAATAATAAAGGTTATTACAATAATAAATCCGTCGTAATCAGTTTAGAAAATTTTAGGCTTAGCAACTGTTTAAGTTTCTACGTAAAATACATCTTGTGCAACACTATTATACTTGTTAATATAAAAATAAAAAAAAAGTGGACAATGTTATACTAACGACAGCAAACTGGAATTTATCAAAACATGTTAGGCCTGTGAAAATAAACCTTAATAATTTTAATTCATCCACTATAATGTTGTCCCCCACTTTTTTTTGTTTTATATCAATTTGAGCATGAAGTAGATTTTTTGTTCAAGTAAACTATAACTGATAAATTAAAAACATAAATTTGTTTTTTTTTTATTTCACACAAAGCTACCTTAGGACTATCTGTATTGGCTATCCTTAATTTTGAAGTGATGTACTAGAGAGAAGCCAGTTAGTGAATATAACACCACCTTCTGTCAATTCTTTGGCTACTCTTTATCAACAAATAATGGGATGGACAGTCACATTATAATCCCAACATGACTGAAAGGACAAGCATGTTCAATGGCAGGATTCAAACCTGCAACCCACAGATTGTGAGCCAGGTGCCTTAACCAACAAAACACAAGAAAAAAAAAGTTTCATATTTAGAAACATTCCACTCATAAAGAATTTGCATTCCAAGTTACTCATAAAATGGTGAAATGTTGACCATTTCCATAATAAATATGCTTCCTCGCTAAAACAAAAAATAGTTTCCACAAGTTGTAACTAAATACTAACAATTACAAATGTGGATAGCAGATTTTATATACATATTCATAACTTATTAAATGCACAAATTAAAAGCTTATTCCTTTAAATAAATGCAGGTATGGATCAATGTGAGGATATCTAGAATATCTACTGTTCTATATTCACGGGAGCATTAATGGATAAAATATCCATCCAAAGAAATAAATAAAAAATGCTAAATAACTTAAAAAAATATCCCCCCCAAAAATTGGTTTTTAGAATTACATTTCTTTAGTTTCGGTAAAGATTTAATAAATATGTACTGATATTACATTAGCTTTAATAACTTCAAAGGGTTTTAGTTACATTTCAGGAGCTGAGCATCAAGTTGTCAGACTGGAAGTTTAAAGGATACATCATAAGATATATATTCATGCTGGAAGTTTAAAGCATGCATTGTAAGAGATTTATTCAGGCTGGAAGTTTAAAGCATACATTATAAGAGATATATTCAGGCTGGAAGTTTAAAGCATACATTATAAGATATATATTCAGGCTGGAAGTTTAAAGCATACATTATAAGAGATATATTCAGGCTGGAAGTTTAAAGCATACATTATAAGATATATATTCAGGCTGGAAGTTTAAAGCATACATTATAAGAGATATATTCATGCTGGAAGTTTAAAGCATACATTGTAAGAGATATATTCAGGCTGGAAGTTTAGAGCATGCACTGTAAGAGACTTATTCAGGCTGGAAGTTTGGAGTAAATATTGTAGGATATTTATTGGAACACAGAAATCATTTCGAGCAAATTGGAAAAATGAAAACATTTTAATTTATTTTATTTTCTGCAGAAGTGTCACATGATCTGAGTTTCTGCCGGTGATTTGCACACAAATTTACACAACACAAATATCATGATACATAATAAAATCACCACAAATATTATTATAGCTTTTATAGGAACAGCAAATTTTTGTAAAATTAATGATTTTACACAGCAAACTAAAGAATAAAATGATATGAAATAAGTAAAAACTAGTTACTTGTATCTAATTAAAGAATCGTCACCTCAAATTGTGAAAGTATCTTTTACTTCCTTTTAATTCTTTCTTGCTTGACATTACTAACAGCACTGCATGACCATTTAGGTAACTTAACCTAGATATTTTAGTAAAAAATTAATGTAAACAATAAACAGTAGAATGAAGTACAATAAAAATAACAGAGGAGAAATAATGTTGGAGTTTCCAGAATCTGCCTCAATGATGTCACTCTGACAGAACAACTCCAATACAGCCCAAGCATATTGGTTTTTCTTGAAAGAAGATGCACTGAATCATTGCTAGATTGTAGAAGAACAAAATATTAATTGATTCTGTGATCCACTACAATTACTCATGCATATAATGGGAAGTTAGCAAACCAAAAACACAATAAGTACGATGCTGTAAAATTACTTTACGTATAGGGAATATGCTACACAAGTTTTGCAGCTTTTACACTAAAAAAACAAACAATGAGAGCCAAAGTTATTTTTAGTTAAAATGTAGGAGAATCAATTTATAAAAGACAAGTTAAAATGACAATATTAGTGATCAGATTGGACTAGAAAATACAACTGATATTTTTGAAGATGTATTACAGTCATTATACTTTAACATTGAGAAACCTTCATAAAAAAAAAGTACTTACATGTTAGAAATGATCAAGGAAGATACTTCACATAAAAACATTCATGAACATTATTATATAAATTTCTACCCTACAATGACAGCTTTATTTTATCCTATAATGAGTTTACTTTTATTCACTGCTTCAGTAATTTAAAAAGAGTTTCAACTATCTCATCATTAGTGTATACAGACTAACAGTTACTAGACCATCATTGAGCTAACTCGCAGCCAACTGAAATGCTTTGTATTTACTGTGACAGTTTTGTTGATTCCATCTGAAAATGATTGGATCACTCGAATACTGTTTTAGGAGGTTACACATGACAAAAAATTTAATATGTATTACACCATTAAAGAGTTATTGTCTATATCAACGTGTCTTGCTATAAAGAAACATCAGTCATAAATTATCTCTGCAACAATTATAACAATTGTAAATTTTCACACCCTACTCCATTCATACATTTCATGTAATTATGTATAATAATATTAATATTATATTACATAGTTTAAAGATACCACAAGAGGTGTGACATATGTTATCCTACAGAATCAAATGTCAAATGGTAAGCTTTAAGCATCTCACTGTTATTGTCAGACTAATGATAAACCAACTCAAATTCTTAAAACAATAAAATATGCCACAAACGACAATGAACATATGAGCTTAATTAAATGGATATTTTCTCTTCGATTTCGATGGAGCTTAGAAACCTTTCTGTGGTGGAACGATTTACTGGTAGATATATCATCTGATACTGAGTTTGTAGATCTTGGTATTACAGACAAATTACCGCCCATCTTGGAGGAAATACTGGAATCATATGTATGTTGATTATATATTTTTTGCTTTTCTTCATTATCTGGTGTAGCAATATTATCCCGTGCTTGGGTGATTTCAAGTTCTACGTCATCAGATTCCGCACTTTCAAGAGAGTCAACAATAATTAATTGGTCATTAGACAAAAGGCTTTTAAAATTGTCGTTATCTTTCTCACACCATCTAATTTCCTCCTCATTTCTAATAGTAATACCATTATCATTATTAACGTTACTCGTACTTGTACTACTACTACAAGCACTAGTAGTAGTGCTATTACTATTAGTATTACTGTTACTATTACTATTAGTTACGACACTGTTACCATCTAAATAATCCTCGACAAAATGTTTTTTAGACCTCTTTCTACTAGTTTTTCTGTCAGATTTATGCATATCAGACAACATATCTGAAGATCCTTTGTTTGTCTTTGTCAGAGAAGTGCATTCAAAAACGACAAATAACTCATCATCATTAGTTACATCTTCTTCGGTATTCGCCATTTTTAAATACTACGAATATTACTATATACTAAAGGTGCCACTACTGAGACAAATAAGGGACCGTTGTATCAATTACTTATTCAAATAGAACCCTTCATCTACCGGTTCAAACATAATTTATGATATTTTTTTATTAAACACAAGACATGACGCAGAATAACCGAATCCAGAAAAATATATTTATTTATGGGGAAGTAGTTAACTTTCTAACAATCAGCCTCTTCGTCGTTCGTGGGTGTTTGAATTCTGAACTTACTCATTTTAGTTTAGAAATGAAAATTTCACAATTAATTCATACCAGTTTGTTCAATGCTTCTCAGTTCATTATAGCCCCCTCCCCTCTCCCCATTGGCTTAGCGGTATGTCTGTTCACAAACAAACAGTTAATTATAGAGAAATTAAAGAATGAATGACAAACAAAAAAGTTGGTATATAAATAGCACATTGAAATGGAAAACATATAAATAACCGAACATATACAGTGATACAAGTTGTTAAAAAACTTAATAACTAAAAAATTAGCGTTAATAAATATAACAGGACTGTCAGACAATTATTTGACCATTAAGATAAAGTAAATTGAAAATAAAATTATCAAATGGAAATGTTTGCTGAATTTTATTCAGATATACTGAGCTAACTGGACCCGGTATGGCCTGGCAGCTAGGGTGCTCGGTTCGCAATCTGCGAGATGGGATCGAAACCTGTTCCCGATCATGTTCGCTCTTTTAGCTATGGGGCGTTATAATGTGACTGTTAGTCGCACTATTCGCTTGTCTAAAGTAACCCAAGAGTTGGCAGGGGCTGATGTTGACTAACTGCTTTCCCTCTGGACTATAAATTCAAAATTAGAGACGTCTAGCGCAGATAGCCCTCGAGTAGATTTGTGCAAGATTCAACAAAACAAAATAAGCAACATGGGAAAAAAACGCGTCACTAAATATATTATTTTAGGAGTTTCTGATTAGAGTAAAAACAAATAAACATCAAACCATCAAGATATACACAAATCAACTTTCATCCATTTTAAAGTAAATAGTTCATAATGACAGTATTGCGGTGTTAAAAACACAATAAGTAAAATACTGTCATGTTGATGTATCACCAGAAAGTTAGGGCTAGATTCAGGTTTAAAGAATGTTAGAGCATTCGACTCGCAATCTGCGGGTTCTAAACCCGTCATCGAGCATGCTCGATCTTTTAGTTGTGGGGGCGTTATAATGTGTTGGCCAATCTAAGAGTTGGCGGTGGGTGTTGACTAACTACCTTTCCTGTAGTTTAACTTTTGTTTATTTGTTGTTAAGCATAAAGCTACACTATGGGTTACCTGTACTATGCCCACCACGGGTATTGTAGTACAATTTTTAGCATTATAAACCTGTCCCCTAGTAGAGCAGTGGTAAGTCTTCGGACTTACAACGCTAAAACCAGCAGTTCAATTCCCTTCGGTAGAAACAGCAGATAGCCCGTTGTGGCTTTACTATAACAAAAACACACACACACACACATTATAAACCCTCAAACATACCGCTAAGCCACTAGGGGGTGGCTCTAAACAATTACGTAAAAATATGTTGTTGTTTTTTAGAAACAACAACAAGATAGAAATAAAAATAACTGTGTTGCCGTATCAAGCTTTGTTTAGCTAAAAATATAACAGAACTGAATATTTCAATTTGAGTTTAATCTTTTAGTTAAGATAAAATAAAGACAAAAATAACATGACTTACTCAATTACGCTCCCCGTTAGTAATTTCACCTCCTTACAACAGTGAGATCGTGGGTTCAATTCCTCACGGTAAACATAGTTCAGGTATCCCATTGTGTAGGTTTGCGCAACAACGACTATTCCATTCAGAGAACATTTTCAACGCTGAATTAGCAGTTATTATTACAGTTTCTCTTTTATAAAATTGATATTGAATTATAACATTCCAGTTTGCTTAATTTTACAAAACTTTTATCTCTAACAGAATTGATTAAGATCAGTGCTTGACACTGGGCAGGATGACATCCCATTTCTTCACAGGAGGGCCCCAAAACGTTATGTTTTAGTAGACTTGAAACCACCCCAGTACTTTTATAGCTACCTAGGACTAGCCAAATATCTTACCTCCTCTTTCTTCTCCATTTTGTACCAGTACGAGCGGCGAGATGCGACACAAAGGACAACGAAACAAAGCGCAATGCACAGAATAACACAAGATTTTTTCCATTCCCACTTTCTGTAAGCATTCTAATTCGTTAATCCACCGCTATGAACGCTAGTCACGAGCGTAAGCTTCTCGGAAGGAAAGGTTTAATAGACTATGCAATGGGACTGGGGAGAGAAACTACAAATCTTTTTCTTAAAATGTCGTTTAAGTGCAAGGCAGGAATGAGACAAAGTAATACACACAGATGGAACAAATGAACCCTCTCACTACAGGCTTGGTCGATGTGACCGAATTCGTAACCACAAAGTAACGACCTGAGTTTTCATACTATAACTTTTAATGTGGTATGTGTATCTTTACAAAAATTTCAGTAAACGTTACAAGTCTTTTATACACAAAAAATACGATTTTTTAAATTAAGTATTTATACCAAAACTTTTCCCATGAATATATGGAGTAAAAGTGTTGATTGCTCCGAGTGCTAAATGATTTTCATGTTAAGATTTAAAAAATTAGTCTTAAAACTGTCAAATTTTACTTAAAATCTAAAAACCCTTAAACAAATATCAAATGCTGTTATTTTCCGGAAAGTTTCATAATTCTTCTATTATTTTCTCTACCCCTAACAATATACTCCTACAGTCAATTTGACCGATCTTGTAACCCCCATAAAAAAAGCAGAAAAAAATGAAATAAATCTAAATTACCCTTTTTTCTTTCTAGAATGGCCGCAAGTTGTAACGTTGTTTATCCTAAATAACTTAAAGTTCGCAACAGTATAGATCTGTTTATACTTAATTTTATTGTCTTATTGCCCTTTGAACCGTATTTAACTAATAATCCTGCCACACAAGTTGTAAATCACTCGGCGAACGTGCAGCTCATGTTACCATATCGAATTACGTAACGCAATTTGAAACAAAGGATAAACTGGCTTGGATTTACGCTCAGGATGAGTAGGTTTCGCGGCATCCTATCGACAGTCAATGTGAGGGTTGAATCTGTGCCTGTGAATAAACCATGCCATTAAGTCTCGCGTTCATTAACATGAGCGGGAAACAACCACCTACACGTTGAATAAATTTTTTGTCCTGCCACTATAGTAAAAACGTGTGTGATTATACGATTATTATAAATTTAGTTAGTATACTATAAAACTTCAGAGTCTGTTTCAGGCTGACATATGTTGATCTATTGTAAAATTTTATGCAAATCAATTGGGTTCTCTTTTCTTTCAAATTCACAAACCAATCAGCTACTTCTTTTTCTCCACTTCAAACACGAGATGAATAAAACATATTGTCGAATTTGAGACAAAGAAAATAAATGTGTATTCACACTTTTTGCTGACAGAAAATATAGGTTTGACAATGAGGAAGGAAAAGAATTAGGAAATTATGTACTTGCAAAAATCAAAATATAACGCAAAACAACAATGGAAATATTATCTGTTTTATGATTACTGACTAGTTTTTCATATTTAATCTATTTAATTCATTTTGAACTTAAGAGGAGGGAGGAATGATATTTTTAATTATAGACTGGTAATTGCTTGCATTGTAAGAAATAGCACTGTTTACTGCTTGGATCCCGTACCATTGCCTAATGAATAGAGTAATTTATCTGCACCTTTTACTGATAAAGGTTGGTAAAACGTTTGCCAATATTTTAGTAATTAAACTTCTCACAAGACCAAAATATGTCCAAGTACGAAAAGCCGTGCGAAGCCTAATGTTTAGCGCTTTGGATTACGAATCGAAGGTTCCAGTCGTGATGTCACTGAATATTATTTGCAGTATCTACACCTTGAGTACATTATAAAAATGATAGTTAATATCGTTATTCTGTCCAAAAAGCCAGACAGAATCATTGTAGTAATGGGTGGTTCTGGCTGGCTGCCTTCCCTTTGGTCAATAGTTCAAATCTAAAAATGACTATACTTATACTCAAGGGGTCCGTGATCTGACCTCCAGAGGGCCAGTGGTAAGTCTGAGGGCTTCTACCACTAAAAACCGGGTTTAAATACATTCATTGTGGGCTCATCACAGATAGCCCATTGTGTAGCTTTGTGCTTAACAACAAACAAAGTCTCTGAACTGCATTTTTAGCTCACGTGCGTATATGGTGGAGTTTAGGTCCAAATTTCCAGTGCCATTCCAAGTCTGAAAGGCAGCTTGTTGAAGTAATCGGGAGAAGACTCCATTCGAGGACTGTTTCGGAGTCACTTATGAATACAATAATCTTTTGAACCAATTAGTAATTATTATAAAAATAGTGACTCCTTTTCTTTAAATATTTATTTGAAGGTAGTTTGTTGTATCACAATTATCTTCCATCCTTATACAAAAAACAAAAACTGTTTTTCTACAAAAATTGTACTGCAAATTGTAATAAATTATTTGCACGTTTTTTTTTCTCCCGACCCAACTATTGTGTGTGTTTATAAAAGTTATTTTCTTAGTCAAATTTTTATTGATTAGAACTAACCATACTTTAATTTGGAATTTAATAGCAAATTATTTTTCGAAAATTTTTGTCGACGAAATTTTATATTTAAATGTTTGAAAAATGTAGCAAACAAAAACTGAGTAACATGAGATTGCACCAACCAGCTACATATAAGCTAAATTCTAGTAACATGTTGTGTTCTGAGGTGAACTAATGATGCATGATATAACAAATTTCTCTCGTTCCACGGCGCTTCTACAGATGATAGCAGATGGAAACAGTGGCTTTTAAAGATCCGACGTGAGGAAAAACCTCTGTTTTCCATAAATAATACAAACCAAATTGTAAATTTACGTAGGCTTAGCCTAATAGTAGTAACAGGCTTTGGGCCTATAA